CCCTAAAAAATATTTTGACTTTTAAAACCCCTTAAACCCTCAAAAGTAAACTCTAATAGAACATAGCTAACCTAAACATAAATGATATAATGAATTTTTTTTTGTTGAAAAGTGGCATTTTCACAAAGATTTTGAAAATGTTGCATTTTTTAAAAATGACATTTTTTAAAATTTTTCTTTATTTAATTAATTATTTTTCAAAAATTCAACAGATTCAGTAAATTCCGGCAATTACTATTTAAGTTTGACATTATTCAGCAAATTCCGCAAGAAATCACTAAAAAATTCAGCAAATTCTGTAATTCCGCAGAAATTCAACAAAAATTTTGCACCATTTAGACCTTATATCAGCCAAAAATGGAATGGATTGTGTATAACATTAGCAAATTTTATTGAATCAAAATAGTTAATTATTTCCAATCAATTTAACATTAAATTTCAGTTAGGATGTTCCAATCAAAATGGTTATTTCTGATTCTCTTTATCAACCTTTGGGGCACTTTTGGTGTACAAAGAGAAAACAAAAAAAAACACATGCATATACAGTCATGGTCAATTAAAAAGATGCAGCTTTTGTCAATAACCAGGACTAGTGGACTCTCTAAGTTTACCACAGAACAAGAAAACAATTAAAAATCCTACTTCTTGAGATTCAGTTACTGTGTTGATTGATCTTTAGTATTTCATATGTTGTAGAGGAGGTTAGTAGTAAAATCCTATTTTTGTAGATAGAGATATGATCCTAAAACTGATCTCTTTAACCTTCTCTTTTGTGTTCCATGTTAAACAAGCCTCTTAAGCTTTTTTCTATTTACACAATGTTTATCTTCTACTTCTTTTATCAGTCTTTTTTCCTTTCTGCGAAAAAAAAACGAAAATGGAGAGTTAGAAAACAAGTAACGGTGTTATCGGGGTTTCGGGTGGCTTCATGGCGGAAATTGCTTACCTTTTTCAATCATACACTTGTTTCTTTCTGCCTAAAGTGAGCCAGTTGCTAGGCTGATTGATCTGATGAGGCTGCCTTATTTTGCTCGGTATCAGACTCGGTTTGGCGGGTTTCGTTGGATTTTTTTGGGGAACCAAACAAGCTATCAGGAAGAGTATTCTCCACATTTGTCTCTTGCCTAAAGAAATGACCAAAACAAACTTTATGTAAGAACTAAAGTAGCGTATTTCGGTAACAAGATGGCTTTAAAAAGCCCTGATTCTTATCATTCATTTACCCTTCGTAGAAATCGTTACTGTAACCACGTTCTTCGCTGCTAATTGCTACTTGCTGAAAATGCTTCTCACCTGTATTCCTATCACCTGCCAAGAAGAAAGAATCATCAGTAGAGGCCGAGAAAAGAAAGCTTAAATGTAGAGGC